CTTGTTTAATCTTGGCCCGATTTATGCTCTTAGCACGGCATGGCAAGCGTGTGTCATAAATTAAAGATATGATGCAAAATCGAGCGCAGTAGTGTTTTAAAATTTGTACAACTAATTCTAAATAATGAGATAAGACTCTGTTATTATTGCAATAAGTACAAGTGAGTTTAATTTTTTTAATTAATATTTATTTTGAGTAATATATTTATCTCATGAGTTAGTATGACTCTCATCACCATAAAGTTTGTTATTGTGTAGGAATCAAACCGTTTGGTCGATAAAGATTGGGGTAACAAAAAACTCACGCCACTCCAGAAACAGTGTTCTAATCTAACTAATTAGTCTAATTAAATGGATTACTGTTTCGTTAAACAAGGAATTTGTGTCAAACTTGAACACATTAAGAGTTTCTCCCTCTATTTAAACGTGATCTTCAATATTTGTTCAGCACTGGTGCTTCGAGTTTAAACTGAGGTAATTAGTATGCTCACTTTTCAACCATCTTGATACCCTAGAAATTGCATATCTGAATGAGTTTTCGATTTGATTTGTTAAATTTTTTTTCTTCTTTTTTTCGTTGTATTTCAACCCTATCATAATTTGTAATCTATGGATCATGAATAAACCATTGATTGATGTGAGATTTACCTGAAACTCACCATTGGTAATATATTTTACATATTTTGCATTATTACTTGGTCCAATGTCAGACCTATCAAGGGGCAAGGGAAGGGGCAAGGGGGTCAACTGATGGAGGAATTTTTCGGTGTACCCGGTACACCAAAAAAATTTGGTGTACCCTCACTCATTAGAATTTATTTATTGAAAAATAAGTGAGGGTACAAAAAGTGAGGGTACACCATTATGAGTGAGGGTACACAAATTTTTTTGGTGTACCGGGTACACCGAAAAATTTTTCCAACTGATGAGTACTCTCCACTGACCATCCGAACTCCAATGAGTCTCTTAAATGACTTGGGTGATGTTTTTCTAAAAATTCGAGTTGTCCTTCGTATATGTCCTTCAACTGCTTGCTAAAATGGTTGCCCTTCTTATTATTATTATTTTTAAATATATCTAAAAAATGTTTGTAAACTTTTACCTGTGAACCTCTGAGTAATTTCTCGATATTTTTTGTAAGCAAGTTTTTTTTCCTTGCGTAAACCCTAATTTGTTGGTTTTTATGAGCATTTTAGGTTTGGACAGCTTCTTGCTGAAAAGGGAAAAAAAAAAAAGATGGTTGCAAGACCCGTTTGGCTTTTTGAGGCCGAATTTGAAGACGCGTTAAATTTAGTAAATAACGTCAAGGTACAACGTTTCAAATCAACAAATTTGCAAGTGTTGTTATTTATTTATTTTTTATTTTTACACGAACTATATATGGTTTTAATTTTTTGTTCCATTTGTTTTTCTACGTATTTCATTTTGCAGAAACGATTTTCCAATGACGAGCAGAAATACAGGTTGTTCTTGCATATTCTGAATGAGTTTCAGGCCAAGAAGATAGACATGTCCAAAGTAGTGGACGAGGTTAATATTATTGTTATTATTTTTGTACATATATTAGAAACGGAGATTTTGAACACACACGTATGAATATATGTTCACAATCACTCTCAATTACGTGAGTTACAAACCTCTTGTTGGACGAGGTTCTTATTCATACGACATAACAAGGAACCCGTATATACATACAAGTCATAAATTGACTGAAAAAAAATAACATATTATTGAAACTGTTGCTGAATATTGTTGCAGGTGACCCTTCTTCTTCAGGATCGTGATCTTCTCGACGAGTTTTACAGCTTCCTACCAGCAAATTTCAGTCGAAAGCTATAGACTGAAAGAAATGTCCAACAATGAAGCCAAAATCTACCACAAATGACTGGATTTGTATTGGATGGTTTACTTATGAAGAACGATTGTTTACTGGTTTAAATTTCCCAATAATCAATTTAATTTCTATTTATTCAGGTCATTGAATTACAAATTGTAATGTTTGCATTGACTTACATTCTTTATTCATAGTCATCGTGTTGATGTTGAAAGACGTTGCGCTGCATGTGCTTGCAAGAAGTTTAGCCGCTCTCCTAGTGCCAATATGTTTTAAGGTGAAACATTTACGTTCACGTGTTGAGCTTAATGATTTATGTGTTCTCACGTCAATCAATATATGTTGTTTATGCGTGAAGATAAATGACACCACTCGTGAGCGCGCATTGAGAATGTGATTCTACATTAAAAACTGAACGAACATCTTGCATGTATTAGGATGGAACCTAAACTTGTTTTAGTTGATGGAGCTGAAAATAAGTGGCCCGGTACATGACCATTAGAGCCAATAAGCACTGGCATGCCCTGCAGAACCTGCATCTCCATGAAGATTAAGCGTATAATTTTTTTCTTGTGGAGCAGAGCCCCTTTTTTTTTTTTTTTTTTGGTCAAATTGGAGTAGAGCAATTAATTTAGGCCATTTTTGTAACTTTGTTATTGATTGAATTCCAAAAGTCTATTTTTTTTACACACACAATATTATTTGTATTATTGAGTGAAAAATACGTTAAGCCTTACAATGAACTAACCACAATAATTCAATTTCAATTCGTCGTAGTGAGAATCGAACTAAAACCTCTCACTTACAAGTGAAGAGGAATATCAATGTTCTATTGTTTGGATGGTGAAAGATTTTGGTTCTGTGGGACCTACATGGATGACACATCATCAAACTAATAGTTATTTTATGGAAGTTAACGGCAAAGATCAATGGTACACGTTTTATTAAGTTAAGGAACGAATTCTAAACTCGATGCGAGGTCATATACAAATTTTAAATTTTGCTCTAAAATTTGGTTGACGTTGCAATGCATATTAATTAACACACGATTATGCCGCAGCTAGCAACAGCTTGATTTCTTGAATTGGCAAAAACAATATGGCTATGCCTGCCTGCTAGCAAAGGCCGGCTCCTTCATTTTTCCCTCGATATTTATGCATATTTTGAAATCTTTTCTTTAGGCAACGTATGTTTTTAAATCTTAAATATTTTGATCGACGTCAGTATTAAATATATGATTGATACGGGTGGAATTCCACATGATGTGATGTCAATATATATGGTGATGGGTTTTAAGGTTGGTTTAGTACTATAATTTTGACTAACCATCTTCTTAATCATCACTTAAATATAGCTTTAAGAGTTAGAGACGTCATCTCATTAGTTCCAGTTTTACGAAGCATTTTGTCTAGCATCTTGCACTCATGGCAACCGAGTTGATCGTCGACTTTTATGTAGATATGTCCAATGAGTCTGAAGACGCATATCTTGATGAATCATGATCAACAATTGATAGCAATGATCAAATTAAATATCTCCCAATAGTATAACTAAACCAACATAAGTTTATTGTCACATTATGTGTCATCAAATGACTTCTTAGCCAAAACAGTATATGAAATTGATATAATTCTTTACTTTAGTCCTTAACAATGAAAATCGATAGACGTGGTCCTTGAGTTTGTCACCGTAAATCATTTTGGTCATTTCATGAAAAATCTATCAATATTCTCGTTAAGTAAAAGAGTCGGTTTGGCCAAAAAACCCTTAATAAAAGGTGGTCACGTGGTCGTTCATGTGACAATTTAGTAAATATATTGACATTTTTTTCATAGAATGATCAAAATGATTCATGGTGGACAAACTCAGATACTACTTTTATCGATTTTTATTGTGAAGAACCAAACTGAGAATATATGTCAATCTCAAACAACCATATTGGTTCAAAAGCGGTCATCAAATACATATGAACATATTATATTGGCTGTCATCGTATGAACAATAAATAAACTTATAGTATGAAACACGTAGATACCATACCAACTACAGAATATTTATTTATACCATAACAAGTTAAATTTTGAATTAAATAAGCAGTTAATGCATGTTTTTATGATGGAAGAGAAGAGTGGTAGTAATATAAATATATATATATAATTGACAATTGTCTTTATGTTAATTATACTTCTGTCCTAATCCAATTCAGATAGTCAGAAGAAAGTAGAAATTTGTAAGGAGTTGAGTTTCACTAAGTATTTGATTTAATGTCACCATCTTGAACTTCTAAACCGTATACAACGATGTGCATTCATGTTATTTTTCATGCAATTTTTTATTTTTATTTTTATTTTGACCTTTTCAAGTAAAACTTTGAGTAATTATGAAACTGTGTCCAAAACGAAAAAAAAATGTAGAAAGAGAAAACAAGCGTAAAATTATTACTTGCATTGCAACCCATTAAGCAAACCGTAAGTCTTATCATGAAAATACAACTTAAACGAGAAAAAAGTGCAAAAGAAGAAAGCGAGTGTAAAATTACTATTTATTACAAATTTGCCGGGATATGAAATACTCGATACAATGAATTTCAAAGATGCAGTCAAATTGTGCAAAGATAGCTATTGAACACGCTTTCTTAATCACATTGATCATCCTATGGATATTGTCGTTAAAATAAGAATACAACAATAACAATAACAATCAGGGTTTATCTTATTAAGTGAAATCGGCATTTCTTTTAGAATTCATATTATAAGGATTAAGAAATACTTGAAGTACAGTAATTTTATTATTTTATTTAATTTTAATTTAAATTTAAAAAAATAAATTAAGAGGGTTATCGATATTAATGTGTAATTAAGTGTATCTCATCTGGAATTTACTTTTACGTTCGTGCACCAATATTTTTGTAATTATTCAAAAGATAAAAATTCCTAGAGAATCAAAACCTGAAACGATGGCGTATCGGATTTAAAGTCTCCGTGAAGCGGAATCATGCACGTTTTTTGGTTAAAAGCACTTTACAAAAACACCCTTTCCGTACATAAATAATTCCCTAAAAAAGGATCAAAATTCTGTAAACTTCAACGGGACAAGCCCGAAAATTATATAAAATTCAGGGGCATTTACGTGAATAAACCGCTCTATAAATGTAACTCCCCAGACGTTTCTAGAAGCACAAAAGGGCGAGCGGAGCAGAGAAGTTTACGAATTTCCGTTATCCATCTTGTTCTCTCTCTCTCAATCTCTTGAAGATTTTTACCAAATTTTAGGGTTTTTCTGTGAATCTTTGGAATTTTGAATCCGTCCGTTGAGACAGGAACAATGGTTTCCGATGCAATTACCAGCGCCTCCGTCCATGCAGCCCCGAACAACGGCGGCAGGGATTTGGGGAAGAAGAAGAGGGTGAGATTTCAAATTTTAATTCCCTCTTTTTTTAGATTTCTTGAGATTCTAGGTGCGAAAGTTTGTTTCTTGATTAATTTTTGACGATTTGATTGATTTATTTGGGGATTTTTCAGGCCAGGTCTGCCAAATTGAAGCAGTGCAAGCTCGATGTTCGTCGGGAGCAATGGCTTTCTCAAGGTGTGCATGCGATCTTATAATTTATACATTTAATTGCTTTGTGATTGTATATGTCGTTAAATTTCGGAGATTTGTGGGGATTTCTGTAAAAATTTATTGTTTTTGGCATTTGATTGATTGGATTTGGTGGGATTTAGGCGCTGTGAAGAACAAGGATTGCAAGGAGGAACTGAACGGCGTCATTAAAGCGGGCAAGGAGCGGAATAACAACCGTTCATTTGGTAATATGGAGATGAAGCCCAGAGGTGGACAGATTGACGGATCGATCCACCATCACCACCACCATGACAGCGATTTGGAGTCGAACAGTCCGACCAGTTTGACAAGTAGTGTCTTGGGCAGCAACTATTCCGAGACTACCTTTACTAGCAGCAGTAGTAGCAGCGGTGGCTGTTGCTCTGGTAATATCACAGAGGATGAGGAAGGTGGTGGTGACGATGGTTGCTTGGACGATTGGGAAGCGGTGGCTGACGCCTTAGCTGCGGATGAGAAGCCGAAAATCCCATGTCCAGAATCGCCCCCAGAGCATGATCCAATTGCTCAAATGGTTTCTCCTCAGGAAACGACTATTGGGTCCGATGGGGTTGAGAATTTGAACCCTCAGTGCGGCAGAGCTATCCCTAAAGCTTGGGGGAATGCCCATGCTTGGAGGCCTGACGATGCATTTCGGCCTCAGAGTCTGCCCAATTTGGCTAAGCAGCTTAGCTTGCCGAATTCAAACCGGAAACATTACAGTTGTAGTGGTGTTCCTTGGGCCTATAATGGTGTTGCCGTGCCATCCTCGTGTCCTATATGCTATGAAGATTTGGATTTCACGGACACGAGCTTTTTGCCTTGCTTGTGCGGATTCCGGCTCTGCCTTTTCTGCCACAATAGGATTCTGGAGGAGGACGGTCGCTGCCCTGGCTGCAGGAAGCCATACGAGCATGAGCTTGTTGAGGCAGAGACAAGTGTGCATGGAGGAAGTCTCACATTTCAGCTGCCTCGTTCTTGTAGCATGATCACAAGGTCCTAAGGAGAGCTTCTGCTTTTCGTGAGTTATGTATGTATGCTGGTCTCTGGTTTTTTGAGTCCTCGGTTTTGTGTGTTTTACAGTGTTAGAATTTGATTTCGCTAGTTAGATGCGGGTATATAGGGTTTTGAGCGCCCGGAATTGACCTGCTTCTATTTTGAGTTGGTTCTATCTGTATGGTGCATTTGCTGATTTAGAGAACTCAGTGACTCGGTGTTCTTATGTGAATATATAAGGTGGTATAGAAATTCAATACATGAATCAATTATTCTCTGGTATGCTACTTCTTTTAGTTTAATTTTTCCTTTATGTAGTATTTGATTGTCGTATTTTAGTTTTGGTTTATTTTCATTTCTAATTAATGGTGTAGAAGCCATCCGTATCCTGGATGAGTTGTTCCTAATGGTTTAACTCTATAGTTTCTTCATAATTGTACATCTCTATGGCTGGATTTGGATTCAAACGCGAGGTCCCTTTCATTAATCTCAGCTGTTAAGTCATGGTAATCTAGAAATTTCCGATCTTGTTTGTGGTCCATTAATATATTTGTTTAACTTTTGAGAACAATGTTATACACTTACCTGTTTATACTTCTAATGTAGGGGATCTTAGTTTTCTAAGGTTATGGTGTGTAGAATTTTCATGTGGAGCTTCGTCTGGGTAAGATTTCTGTACATGGGCATCAGTCTTTTAAGGTTAACATGGATATTAGCAAACCGTACTCTACAATTATTTTGTTCTGGTAACATGTTTCATGTGAGAGAATAGGGTACAATTTCAAGAGGGAACCTAGGAGCTTCTCTTGCTTAGGACGGTGTTGGTACCATCGTCAAGGGTCTTAACCCCTCTGTCGAGGGCTATGTACCTTTTCAACTTCTATCTATGGATTAGTCAAATGTTTAAGGCATGAAGGTATTAGACTTATGTTGCATTTGATTTAGTACTATTTATCTTTTATCTCCTTCGACAAAAAAATACAGAGGGTATCTTTTATCCCTCAGGAACCTGGAGATAATGACTCCGGTCACTTGTAAGTCCTGCTTTTCATGGGTTTTTTCATGTTTCTATCACTGTTTCACTTGTCTGTATGCACTTTCATGACTTTTTTCGTATTTCTATCGCAGTTTAACTTGACTGTATACATGGATTCTCTGTTCTTTCTCAAGCAGCCGTAGCAAGGAAATTAAACTCAAATGTTTCACTTGCATTTCTTCATATGTGGAATGGCTTGATACACCAATTTGCCTTTTACACATAACGAAACTATTCATGTCTTGATGCTTACTGTTACGTTTTAGAATTCGTAATTCTTATGGTGATTACTAGTATTTGCTTTGTGTTTCTTCTCGTCGACTATGACCTTGATTAGTAATGTTGATGTTCTTTTGTGCACTCCCTCCGTGTGTTGAAAACGCGTCGTAGCAAACTAATTTGATCTCTCTTGTGCATGTGCAGTAGGGAAGCCATTTATAAAAGCTACCCGACAGTCCAGCAAACTAATGTTATTTTGTGACCCTCTGGTTGTCTTAGACATGTTATTCGTTCGGAACATTTAATGTATTATCTGGAAGTGATTTGTAGCACACTCGAGCAAATTTAACGTGCCGGTGTAGGATGTATGACAAGATTGAATCCTGTTGTGCCGTTCTGCGTAAATCTTTTTAGTTTGATCTCGAGTACGTCAGAACGGGGTGCGTCAAGTTCTATATTTCGCGTTTGATCTTGAAAACAAACAAATCCACGAAAAATCCAGGTTTTGCTGTTATTCTGTAAGGCTTACAGGAACTGGCATACATTTTGACATACACAATGAAGACGACTCTACATCTGATTCTCGGTTCCCACTTGTTGGAACCAAACTTGCGCACCATCGTACTGTTACGCTTGCACATTTCCTAAACCATTCACAAGTAGCGAAATCGTTTCTGTTTGTAGGTCAGCGGGGAGTTTGCTCCACCATTCCTCGAAGGTGGACGACTTGAGCAACACATCCTTACCGATCACCCCGTCCGGAATCCATTTCCCTACTTGCTCCTGAACTCTCAAAATTCTCTCCCTTTCCTTGTATACCGCCGCAAAGTTGCCGGAAAGCTTGTGCAACTCCTCCACTTCTGCCCAGAAGCAAGACTCCCCGCATGAACCAGTTTGCAGTTTCTGTTCGTACTCGAGCCATCTCTGCATCCATTTGTAGCGCGTTGGCCTGCCTTTCTTCATATAGGATTCGGTGTCCTCGTCCTTCGAGTGCCTGTAGTAGTTAGCCACATCGAGAGGCTCGACAAGGCGGCGATACCTAGTTCCAAGATTTATCCACTCTTTTGTAGCCTCCAGTTCATCGGGGAGGTCGTATCTTGTGAACATTTCAATGACCTCATCCATTATACCTGTTAGCTCAATCCTGCTCAAATTAGCATCGAAATCTGTCTTGTTTTTATGAATTTTGAAGGCTTTGTAATATCCGACAGTGTGCTCGCATAAGGCCCGGTAGTCTTCAATTATTTTCAAATGTTTCGTGATCATCTCCAGTTTTGAACCAACCTTTCTCCTGGTTTCTTCGTTTTTGCTTCTCGAATTCTCCTGCTGCGCGAAGGCATAATCTAGCCTTTTCGCTCTGCGATTTTCGACAAAGTTAGAACGTACTATTTTGAAGAGAAGTGATGTAATATATTGAAACGATTAAAGTACTTACCATGCCAAGGTCATCAAAGAAACCATCTGAGGCTAAGGGGAGCGTTTCTAGGTTATCATCATAAGTCACACACTGCATGTCCAAGCTGCCTTCAAGCTCATTTTCGTAGGCCAAATGCTCGTTTAAGCATTTAAGCACGATCCTTGCCCCTTCACTTTCGCTGCTCAATTGACACGAGTAGAACAAGAGTTGCAGCACAGCTTCAGGGTTTTTCATGACAACCAGTTTCCCGTTGCCGGTGCAAAAAATGTAAGTTCCGAAAGGTTTGTACGGGCTTAGCTTAACGAACTTTTTTACAGTTTCGAGTAATGGGTTGGTACTCCCCTGTAGTTTGGAGGCAGCATGAGTTGTAAGAGATGCTGCATTTCTCATCACATTTCTAAACAAAAGGAAGGCTTCCTGGGATGATCCAACCGACTGACTCGCATAGGCGGGGGAATTTGGGTCGAAGAAGGGAAGGATCCTCTCGAATTCATGTTGAATGGAAGAGAGTGGAGCAAGCAGAATCCGAGGGATAATGTCATATCTCATGACAAAATGTATGAAGTATTGAGACCAATTTTCTCTCCTAAGAGCATGGGAAATAATATGGTTACCAAAAAGGGGAGATCCGAAAGTCACACAGAAAAATGTTTCATGGCTTTGTTTCGGGTAATTTTCAAAGCACCAGATTGTGGCAAGCACGGCAGTTGGACCGCCTGTAGAGTGGCCGGTAAATACTATTCTCTTCTTTCATTGACAACCTCTTGCACCTGAGAGAATTAAGAATGAAAGACCACCTGAGTTACTAATTAACATCCCGCAACACATTATATTTGTGCGTACTAAGGCATAGCCAATAGGTGTCGGGTTTTATTACAAAATGTCAAAGTGTTAATAGTTTAGTAAACTAGGAAAATTGCTCTGAAAACTATACGTTTTATACAAAATTACTTAAATAGCACATCGGGAGGAAAAATCTTCACGCAGTAGACAGTTTTTCTGAAGTATTGGATTTGAAGTGTTTTTCTTTAAAGTGTAACGCTATCAAATGCTTATACATGAAAAGTCCGCATCAGTTTTAGCACTTACATATTTTTGTTGTGAATACACTCGCTTATATATAGCGTTTTATTTTGTCAAGTTTTCGACGTAGTACTTTACATTCTTTTACATATAATGTTTATGTGGCAAAATTAAAAATTTACAATTAGCAACTATAGCAAATGAATAACAATATCAAATTGATACCTTATTTTTAAGCTGGGAATTCTGCAATACATGTTCAAACTTCTGCACAAAGGCTTGGTTGAAACTTGCAATTGCTAAATCTTGGTGCCCACCAGGTCCGGCAGCTTCATCATAATGACCTATGCTTTTCATGGAAGGAAAGAGTGAAAGTTGGATCTTTTTTTCCCCAAAAGCACTTTCTCCAGAAGCCCAACTCTCCACAGACCAAGATCCTGGGAAGCTGAAAACAACATCTGATGATCCAGAAGCATATTCCTCCACATGAAACAGATCATCTGGGGATTTGTGTGCCTTGAAGGCAAGAGAGCAGCTTTTCTTGATAAGCTCCTCGCTTATATTCAACTTCTCTCCCAGCCTTTCACTTCCCATTTTTCTAAATTATGATATTTTTTTTCTTTTCTGGTTTTTGATAATTTGATTTGGGTCTTACTTTAAGGAGTGGCGGGATGGAATGGATGAGAAAAGTATAAGGATGCCCTCAAGTCTTGGTCAAGACTTGGGCTTCCATTTTTGTTTTGGTTGGAATTCTTGTCTTCACTAGACAACAATTTGTAGTATGAATTGTTGTGCTATTCTCATATTACCAATTAATTTTATAATAGAACTTCAACTTTCTTTATGATATACGTCATCTGCACTTTCACACACAACAAAGGAGGACGCACCTTTATTTGAGTTCATTAGTGGCCCTCTTGGTTGCGAGTAGGTGTAAAGATGACATGTATATGATTGACGTGGTTAGGATATTCCTGTAAAGTGTTTATTAATTGTCATAAACAAGTAATGCTTTACATTGGCTGACGAGGCTTAAAGTTGATGTACTTCACATGTAAGTTTCCTACTAATTCCACAAAATGTTTTCTTAATATTTGAAGAAGATTAAAAGTTGACCCAAAAGAAAAAGAAGACTAGAAGAAAATGTTTTCTTAATACTGCAATGCAAGGTCTTTGCCTTCCACTTTCGTCGAAAGTTTCTTCTCACTGTGCAGGAAATTCTGTTTGTTCTGTTGCTTTGGAAATTTACTGTAAAATAGTGCTAGAATGGAGATATTGTTTTTGTTTTTACTGTCGATTTAGTGCTCTTTCCGTTTTTTTTTTTGGCGTGTAAATTATTGTGGTATTTGTGCAGTGAATTGTCACGCTCGCTTGTGTTCATAGCTTGTATCGAGCCACACAACCTCAACAATTGCATTTTGTTGTCATATTTTTGTAAGCCTTCTGGTTCCCTTAAGAAAAGTATAGATGTTATTTGTGCTGAACATTCCTAGCATGTGTGGAACCAAAACTATTACAAATGAAAACTGTACTTGTAACCAAAACTATACCAAAGCAAAACACGAAAACTGTAGAGAGTGGATTCAAACTTGGGTGAAGAGTCGGAGCCACCAGGCAGAGGAACGCTTTGTTCTGTAATATGGGGTTCACTTTCATAGAAAGGAGAGTCTAACCGTTACAAGTTACGTTACAGGCTTAGGTGGACTAAAAGTCAATGCTAAATCGTCATCGATGACACCCAAAGTTCAAGAAAAACGTGAATGTTTGTAAGTACAGAAAAAAAATGTCTAAAAAGAAAATACTAGCCAGACCATAATTTTTTACCACAGTCATGTACAACGTGATATGACAATTGCCACATATAACCAATACTCAACGCGATAAACTCATTGGTTGACATAGCATGTATACCTCACGTGGCACACCGTCAATGCCAATGGCTACGGCACTACTCCTAGGTCTGCCCCCAATATTATCACTTAATTGGTACTAATCCACTTGCATATTTCGTCAACCATTCATAAGTCCCGAAATAGTTTCAGTTTTGAGGTCAACGGGGAGTTCGCTCCACCATGCCTTGAAGGTGGACGACTTCAACACATCCTTGCCGAGAACCCTGTCCTCAATCCATTTTCCTACTTGTCCTTGAAGGTTCAACGCTCTCTTTTTCTCCTTGTTCACTGCCTGGTGGTCCTGGTTGTCGCCAGAAAGATTGTGCAACTCCTCCAACTCTCCCCAAAAGCAGGATTCCCCCGGGGTACTGGCAGTTTTTTTTCGTGCTCGAGCCATCTTTGTGCGTATTTGTAACGCTTTTGCCTGCCTCTCTCCATATAGACTCCGGTGTCTTCTCCCCTTGCGTGCCTGTAGAAGTTAGCAATTTCAAGAGGCTAGACAAGGTGGCGATATTCATTTCCCAGTTCTACCCAATCTGATATAGCCTCAATTTCATCAGGAAGATCATATTTTTTCAGCATATCAGTTATCCCATCCCATATGCCTGCAAGCACAAGCCTTGTCACATTCGCGTCGAAATCTTTCCTGTGCTTTTCAAGCTTGAACGCGTCGTCGTATCCCACATTGTTCTCGCACGAGCCCATCGTAAACGAGGCAACAGGGTCAACCGAAGAGTTCAACGGGGACCAAGAAACTTCGTTGCTGCCACTTGAACTCGCTTTCGACGTGCAATAGGGTTAGGAAGCAGCAAACATATAGCACTAACCCTTATCTATGCATGCCTAGAATAAGCACGAACTTTGGTTCTTAAGCCCTCTTAACCGTCAAACGAGGAACAAGCTTCTTCATCACCTCCACATGAACTCACACTCAACATGCCAATGGAGGGTTAGCGTGTCAAGACATGTCATGTCCTGCATTCAGGCAATAAAGAGGATCTAAGAAGGAGTAGACCTCGAGGCCTAAAATTATTTTTTTAGAAATTAGTACAAAACATGACACTTGTTATATATGAACATCTTCTTACCGGTAATAACACATTCTCCGATTGAGCTGAAAATTTACACATGTTCTTAGCTTGTAAATTTTTCAGCTCTACAAATAAACATGTTCTTACCAGTAAGAACACGTGTAATCAGCTGTACTAATTAATGAACGTGTTTTTAGTGGTAAGAACAGGTTCATATATGACTAGTGTCCTGTTTTGTGCTAATTTCTCGAGGAGTTGCGGATACAGAGAACCAAGAATGCCAAGGTTCGACATCTTTAATATCGAAACGTTTCAGCTTTATCGAAAAATTAGTGGATTGTATTGAACATTTGTGTGGGGCATTGTCGTCCGCTGTGGATGGAAATGGGCTGAAGCACATCTTGCTGTGCCGTGCGATATTGGGGAAGGCAGAAATGGTGGTGCCGGGCTCAAAGCAATCGAGCTGCAAGGAGGTAGACACTGGAGTGGAAACTGGTCGATCCGAGAAGATATGTTGTTTGGAGTGCTATCGTGAACTCTCACAGTTATCCTTGTCATGTGATCAGTTTCAAGGCTCCTAGCACTCTCCCTAATGGTTAGTAGCTCAATTCAAAATTCGAATTGGTAATTTGGTTTGAGTTCCTTGTTTGGTTTGGTGAAGATTTTGGGTTTTCGGACTGAGATTTAACTCTGGTTTTGCATGTTCAGTTGTTTCAGATGTTCCAACTATGCAGCACAGTGCTTTGAGACCACCCCCACATCTCCCTGGATGAGCTTCCCTACTCTGATGTCCATTCTCTCGAAGCTCTTGCCTCCTCAGAAAATGCACTTGCTTGTTGCTTGTCGCAACGAATTCAAAGTTTTATGGCATTTTCTGTTTTTCATGTTTAATCTTCATGAATCATGACAACCTGATCACTTTATTTCGAACTTTTCGATTGATTTTGCAGTAGAACAAGGTAACGCGCCCGCAGCTGATACAGAGCGTGAGGCAGACTGCCGGTGACAGGCTGTTGATTGGAGTGATCAAATCTGTCAAGAGGCAGATTGGTGCCTGCATAACGTTGTTTGGTGAGAAATCCTATGCCCGTAGAAGTGGCCTAGGCAGGTATATGTCATATACGTAAGTGTCTATTTACACTAAAAAAACTGTACTTTTGAGAACTGAAATTATTTATTTAATATATAACACCCTAAAATATTTGAATTTTTGCTTTAGTGTTTAGTAAGTTCAGGTAGCTTAAGATGAAAGTTCAAGTAATTAAGAGTTTATAATACTTTGCAAAATATTCTTCAGAAGTCGAATAAATTTAATAAAAAGTAGTCTTGAGTAATACACCACCTTTTAATTAATTAAAATGTTAGGCGGCACAACCTGATTGGATAACAATTAAAAATAAAAAAAGGGAGTTGACAAGTGGGAAATGGAGAGGGAGTCTTTCTTCTTCTATGGAACCAAGGTCCAAGAGCAGCATAGCCATGGTTGTCTTCTTTGTGCTCCTCTTCGTCTAAATTAGATCTTTCTTCTTGGTTTAAATATTCTCTCATCTATCACATGTCCAAACCGTTGGATGGTCATTAGAGATCTTCACATGCACTTTTTCACATTTCTGGGTGGTCCCAAGACCACCCGGGTCCACATATGCTTTCGCTTAAAGAAGACTAGAAGAAATTGTTTTCTTAATTTTTAAAGACTTGGTTGACGGGCCTTCCACTTCGTTGAAGGTTTCTTCTTACTTTGCAGGAAATTGTGTTTGCTCGGTTGATTTGGAAATTTACAGCGAAATAGAGCTAGAGAGAAGGCATTGTTTTTTGTTTTTATGCCCATATATGTTCATGGCATGTATCGAGACACACAACTTCAACACGTGTGATTTTGCGACCCTCGTGGTACCTTTAGGTACCGTTTGGTACGTGGGACGGGACGGAAAAGAGTGGGATAAGGCGTTCCGTCCCACGTTTGGTGCGCCTAAAACGGATGGAACGAGTTGTTCCACGAGACGAGTTTTGGATGAATTTTCGTTCCACCTCACCCCCTGGAACGACTCGTTCCACATCCGTGGAACACAAAACTATAACCTCTCCGTCTCCTTCTTCTTCCTCCTTGTTTCCATCCGAGGGCATCTTTGCTCCCGCTCCGTTCCGTCCTGTCCCGTCCCGTCCCATCCCATTCCGTTCCGTCCCGTCCCGTCCCGTCTGCATACCAAACGATATAGCAAGTCCACCCCAAGCACATAGGCTGATCCAAAGTGGAAAAAATAGGCTGGCACCCATTAAAAACCCTCCAGCCCATCTAAATAGGTTGGCACCCAGCCCAAGCCAGCCCATAGGCCAGCCCAAAACATGTTGAGCTAGAGACCGGCCTACATGACGACAGGCTGACGTCAGCCACCTGATATTCTTTTCTTTTTTTTTGTGCCAAGCGTGTGGTCGCGAGTGGCCGACATCATCGCAAAGGTGGGCCCACTGTGCAGGCACAATATGTGGTTCTTCCTTGTGGATACGTGGCACAATGAGGACTTTTGGATTTCCAACGGCAACTTTTATGGGCTGTTGGATTACAATGGTAAAAAAAAATTTGAAAATTAAAATTAGTGGGTACTGATGTGGCACAATGAGGACCGTTTGATTTTCTGATCAACGATCCAAATTTTTCGGCAAAAAACTTTAAAAAAAATGAATAAAATGTCAAAAATTAATATTATTTTTTTATAAAGTCAGAAATTAATAATATTTTAATAAAATTGACTAA